TTTCATGTATCTAGTGTAGAGGTAGAGGTCAAGAAAATGGTTAATGAGTGATCAGAGGTTAGTAGTTATTATGAGTTGTGTCATATAGAGGGATTCTTTGTTGAGTGTCTAGCAAATTCCATTTAATGGCTAAATACATCAATTGAAAGACAGAGGCCTTCTAAAGTGAAATTTAGCTATTATTATAGGTGTTGGTGATCGAAGATTTGGCCCAACACGGTAGACTATAGGCTTGACGCTTTTCTATGGTGAATAGAGCTAATAGAGGGTTTAGATAGGGAATTGGCAAGAGAAGACTATTAGGGAGATAAATGAGAAAAATATTTTGATAAATTATTTAAATCATGACTTTTTGTCTTAAAAATAGTAGACTAACAATGGTTGGTGAGTGGCAATGAATACAAAATAGCCAAACACAACAATTTGAAGTTAAAGCCTTCTCAAGAGAAATTGGTAATTGTCACGAGTTTGATGAGCAAAGAGATGGTCCAACATGGGTGGTGGTGGAACCGGTGGAAGAATCATGCTTCGAGTTGTCGATTGATTAAGAGAGAGAGAGAGAAATATGTTTGGCTAAATATACATATCATATTTTTTATACAGGGACTAATAGACATTTTTCTCTTTATATGATTGTGGATGGAAGTGGATCTCATTAAATGATGTAAAGTCTCTTGTATTCTTTCCCATTGTTCTCCTTATAGACTATTTGTGTATTATTGCTCTTAGGTGTGCATGCTTCCCTAAGAACATCCTTAAACTAGATGAGTCTATTTTCACCTTTTCTTATTCTTTAATCTACTTAATTATCTAATATAATATATTTATGCTTCATGCTTCTTAAGTTAACACCTATCTCTCTTAGCATTTTTTTTATAACTCAATACTTGAATCTTTATAGCATAGTAGTGTAATCGCTGTTTATAACTAGTACCTAACGTTTGTAGGATATCCCCCTATTTTATGGTGCCCACAAGGCATTTCCTCATTTGAACTAACCAATTTTAGCCTTTAAAGTTATATTTCGTGTATATGATTGTTTTTTTATAATAGATTTATGATACTTGAACCTATTTATATGGGTGTCATTTGATCTTTTAACATATTAATTGATAATTATTGTTTCCACCTTCACCAAAATTACATATTATGTAATCATATTTGTGTTCTTAAAGGTTAATCAAGTTCTCGGCTGCGCATTACATCCCTCCTAGGCAAGCATATCAACTAAGGCTCCGTTTGGGGTAGCTTATTTGTTGCGATGGCGTTTTGAAAATATCGTCTCGCCTAGGAGTTTCCAAATAAATGACTTATCTGGATAAGCACAATGCGGTCAGCGTTTCTAAATAAATGACTTATCTGGATAAGCACAAGCTGCCTCAAACGCACCAAAGTCACCCTTTTGTTAGTGCCTCATTATAAGGCATTAGATGAGGATGCACCAAAATCTGTAATGCAAATTATTATTATTAATTAATTAATTAAAAGCATGTGCAACCATAATATTTAAACGAAAAACTATATTAAAAGAATAAGCTATGGTAAAGTATTTAGAAACTCTATATTACTCTCTTAAAAAGAGTTAGATGAAGCATGTTAAATCAAATATTGGTACTAGAGCTTTTTGTTCTTCTTAAGTAGATTTCTGTGATGATAAAATGATGAGATTGAGGAAACTCGGGAGATTGAGGAAGTGATAGAGAGCTACGCATTGTGATAGGAAAGATGGTATGGGCAATCATGAAAATGAAGTGGTTGATAATGAAGATTTTATTGAAAGTTAGGCTTTTAAGGCGAACATTATTTTTTTGGCCTTCTGGACAATTTATTTTAGACAATCTATTTGGAATTTGGATCAAAATAAGTGATATATATTTTTAACTACTGCAATTGGAGATTTTAATAGGATATATTATCATAATATATCTTGAAAGTATTTAACGTAATTAAAATAAGTGAAATTTTTAAACAATGACCACCTTGGTGACACAAGTGCATTTAATGCGTTTAATAACAATGTCACTAACTTATACTTTATTACATTAATATTAAATCCTTTATATTACAAAAATTCTAACTATTCACTTTAGAAGAAGGCTAAAAAATTAGTCAGTGGTATAAATTAATGTAATACACTTAATATTAAACCCAAAGTCATCATTATATATACTCTCTTTTTATTTGAAGTTCTTTGATGATGAAAAAAGCAAAACTCATGCTGTGCCTCTCTTCCTCACTTTTATCCTTGTCAGCTGCTCTCCTGCTCCAATGTTTCTCTCATTTCTCACTTGCTCTCTCTCTTTATGCTCTTGTTCCTCTTTTCCCTTCAATACTTCTTTTTTATTCTTCTTCAATAATCTAGTAGTACCCCAGGCTCCCTCACTAACTAATCCAACCTCTTTTCTCTGCTCATCATCACTGAAATAGAAAAAACGTTGTCATTCATCTCCTTTTAGTTAGCAAGAGGAGAACCTGAAGATGATGATCAATCCCTCCTTTCCTCAATAAAGGCTGCACCAATAGTGTTATAATTTTTTTTTGTTCTAAATAACAACACCAAAATAGCGCATGACTATAAGATGGAAGGCTTAATGTTAACCCTTCATATAATTCTATTGCGGTTGGAAGCTTTTTATCGTTTAACTAATTCTAATGTTACTTGCCTTTGTGTTTACATATCCTTAATAACTTGACAGTGCCGACCAAGCTGTACATATATCTATCATCACTTTCTAAATGCCAATTAACTGTTCATTTAGACTTAAAAAACTTTTTAATGCAATCGTTTCACTGATAATTCAACTTCGTTTGTTCTGGATCAATCTATAGAAAACTTGGTGTTTCTTTTTTTTTTTATTTTGCTGGAAAATTTGTTCTTTGAAGTCCTTTTTCGACCCACCATTTTAACCCGTGAAATTTAGTTTTTTTCATTACTTTCGCTTCATATCTAGGATAAACCTTCATAACTATGAAGCTATGCGTGTGGCCAAATATTTTTTTAGGATATCTTACAATCTTTGTAAAAAAAGACCTGTAAAAATTGTCTTATCTATTTTCTATTAGTTTATTTTTTAAATTAAAACTCTACTTCTTTCCTAAGGTATGACTGCAAGATAAAAGAAATGCATATCAATTTTTATTTATCTTCTCAATTCTAAAATGGCTACTCTGAATACATTAGTAATAAAAATATATATATGCATGTCGTACCATTTCATTTATATCTACACATTTTCCTTTTGGATGTTTATAGTGTTTTGCGAGATTATGCTTGCATGTCATTTATTTCAGCTTGGCTTGAAAGTTTACTTATTTTTATATTCCAGTCAAAATAGATTGGAAACTGAAAAGTTCTACTACTTTCCAGGAAATTTGATGTAATTCTGTTTTCGTTAAATTTGTCCCCAAGTAAGTTTTTAGTGAATGCAGTATGATTATTTTCTTCAATTCTACCAAACATGCATGTGTGCAACGCTATACATCCCATTGTTATAGATTCTTTCGGTCAAAATCTAAATGCTGTAAGCTGCTATCAAATTCTTAAAGAATTGTGTCAGTATTTCATTGAAAATGATTTCTTCCAATGCGCTTACTTTTTTAACATATAATGAGCTCATTTAGTATATTTTATTTCCGTTTAATAGAATCACATATTAATTTTATTGGTGGAGCCTGAATAGCTAATGTTTTTTCAGCTGTAATTGTTGAGGCATGCAAGAGTAATAGGTTTAATCCTTACATTATAGGTAAAAAAAATTTGTTGGCATAGACATACCGAATGATTGCTTTCTTCCACTTAATTCAATGTTTTGGGTTAGAAGTGGGCATGACCACTTGTGGTTTTGGTTGTTTATGGGTCTTTGGTGCCTTCTATCATGATTTAGGGAGGTTCTTGAGTATGACTATCACTACAACATCACATGATTCAGTGTGTTCTTTGTGTATGATCTCATTAATGTTAAGAAAAACAAAAAAAATCATTTGAGTAAGGGGTGATGTGGATATTTTCTACATGCAAAGAGATTGTTAACGCATGTTAGAATATTGAGATTTTAGCCTCACATCAGAAAGAAATATTAATGGCCTCTTCAGCGTCACTTGTGGTTTTTGTATTTTATTTTTTGGTTTTGTTTTATTTTGTTTATATTTTTATTTAAAATGAAATATATTTGATATATTATAAGATGACGAAATCTGAGTTCATTTGCTGCTGTTGTTTGTTTAGCACAGTTTAATTGAACTGCTAAAGCTTTTACCTTTTATTGGAGCAGATTAGTTTATTGTTGGCCACTTATTTGAGGCAATCCACTCACGTGGCGGGTTGCTTAATGGATATTTCTGAGATTAGTGCTAAGCTGCGGTTTAAGGCTTTAAACTTCAAAGCAATTTCTTTCCATTAATGAAGCTTGAACTCGATCAGTGCATAATTATGTTAATTTCATTCGTAATATTATTGCCTTGCAAGTTCTGTTCTGCTGTACACGAATTTGATAGTATGATTGTCATATACATATTTGTATAATTTGTCACCCTTAGAAGTCATTAAAACCCATCGGTATCGTGTACCTTATATGACACAATAATGCATTCTTACTATCCTAGACATTTAATCCATTTAGCTCGCTTCTATTCTTTGTTTTAGGACTCAATTGACCTAAGTTACTATAGGATGATCTTAGGATCACATTGGACTCGTGTGGTTGGACCTGGCTTTAGAGGTGTGTTGATTCCAAATCATAATTTATAAAGTGGAGAGGAAAGAAAAAGAGAACTTAATAAAGGTGTAAACGAGTCAAGTCGAGCTCGAGTCATTCTCAGCTTGAATTATAATCACAATTAAGCAATTAAATTCAATAAGGAACTTCATTATTATTTCAATATACAATCAATTCCTTTAAATAGACTAATTTATAAATATAATGCAGAAACTAAACAAGAATAATCTGATGCTTTCTTTCACCGAACTATATTGACCAAACAGTTTCTTTATTAGCAAAAACTGCTTTGTGAATGCATGTATTAGTCCTACAAAATAAACTCCTAAATCTCCAAACAAATATAAATAAATAAAACTTATAATTCTGTAACTTCATACTTTGCTGAAATAAACTAAATTCTCTATGAAAATTTCCAACTAAAAGAGGAAAATTATTCCATACAGAAAAGACTTATAAGCACTAAACCCTACTCAACAGGAAACTGGAGAGCAGCTCTAGCCATGGCTAAGCTCCCTTCATAAGTATGATTTCCTCCAATAAATCCACTCATATGAACAAAAACGCATCCAGAAATTCCAGACTCCTTTGAAAGTTCTTCATCCCTTAAGCCCCTCCATGACAATGGGAGAGCCCTCCGGCTCTCAAATTTATCGGGCGACACCGCAACTGCTTGAACTCGCCAACCTTTGCTCCGATCATCCTATAAAAAAAAAAATTCAACTTCTTTAAAGTTCTATCTTTTATGGCTAGTGTATGATAAATGGGGCACTTACATACATGGCACATAAATCTTATGTATTTAAATATCTCACACCTAACTTCCACAATTACGCGCAAAGCACGCAAATTTTTCATATAACGTCATTTAAAAAAAAACACTATTATCACTTTTTAAAAGTGAAATTTAGATTTTTCATGCATAAATTTAAAGCACCGAAGTATCATGTATGTAAATATGAGATATGTAAATAGATAATTGTGTAACATCACATGTGAGTGATATGTATGTAAATTTTCCTAAAAATTTATACCTGATACAAAACATATTTGATGGGTGGATCAATCTTCAACTCCTCTTCAAGCTCAAACAGATGAAGTTTCCACTGTTAATAAAAAATATTAATCTAGCCATCAGCAAAGATTAAACAAACATTCAATGGCATAAAATAAAAACCAATGGCACATATAATGTCAACAATTTAAAAATTCCATGTAATGTTAGAAATCTTACGGGGCAAAACGTATCGAGAACCATTATTTCACCGCTCGGATCAATGTTTCTTCTCGACTCTATACATTGTAGGACAATAGACCTTGCTGGTAACCATGATTTTGCATAATAACGAATACTCTGAAATCAAGCAGAAAAATAAGCACAACAAATGATTCCAACATAAAGCTTATATGAAGTTTGAAAAAATGTTAACATAACATAATCACAACATTTAGAACACAAAAGGGCAGAAACAACAACATAAATGATTCCGACCTCCAAAAACTCGCTGCCAGCGAGACTCATTGCCCGCCAAAAGGCTTCATTTTCCTTTGCTGCAGATTGATCTGGATCCACCCAATCCAGATTTAAGCGCCCAACTCTTGAAGACAAATGGGTGTTATTCACATATCTTGGTGGCAGATCCGTTTCGTATTGGTTAATTCCATTGTCGATAGCATCAATCGCCTGAAAAAATAAGCAAGACGTGAATTGATGCGTGTATAAGAGAGCGAAATATCTATGCTCTTGAGTGTTTACTTTGTTGGCTGGATTCACATCTGCATCTTACCCTTAGGTCATCATATGTTTATCATATTGCATTAATTTTCACAAGAAAAAGATAAAATAAATTATTAAATACCTAAAAAGGTTATTAACAACAACAAAAAAACTATCCAAACATGGGAACCTACGTGCTAAATAATTTGATCGTAAAATATGTGAAAATTTAGGCTTAAAAAATATTAAAAAACTAGTACCTCGACAAAGCTTTTGTATACAGCCAGATAGAGCCGTTGAACATCTTGGTGTTCATAATCAAGCTGAAGCTCCTTTGCAATTATCTCTTTACCATAGTGCTGTGGAAGAAATCAGCTAATAAAATGTGTGAGAACTACCAAAAAAATAGATAAAAATCACCGGTTTCAGATGCCTAAAAGGCCCATTTTATGGCTCAACTATTACACAAAGAAAAGAGGAAATTTAGTGTACCTTTTGCTCTCATGAAAGGAAAATAAAGCTACAATATAATCTATATCATTCAATAATATTTCTATTTCAATATCCCAGGCATATATAAATTATCATTGCTGATGCAACTCCAACAAGTACAACTTATAAAATTTAAAAGTTACAATCAGATCATCTAACTTTTGATCAGATTCAACTGTAAATTCAGAATCATTCATTTTTTAAATGTATGAACAGTCATTTGAGCTGGCATTAAACTATAGAAGCCATCAATGATAATCCTTTTCAGACATTTATATGATACCTTGTAGATAAGTCCAGCACTGCTAAGTTTGGTTTTAAATCCATGACCGAAAGCCTCGTTGAACCCTTTCTGATGGTGATCATACCGATCACGGTCGGGATCATACACGCCCCCAACATCAAGCACCGCGTCCAAGGTATCGAGTAACTGGAATTCAGTTTCACAAAATCATGGCAGATAATTTATAAGCTCAATTCAAAATTTTGTCACCGTTAGAACATAAGCAAAATGTTTATCAGCCATACAAATATAGAATAAGTGAAAAAAAAATAGAAGAAAATTTTGAATACTTGAATGGATGAGAACAGTATCAAAGAACATACATGGAAGATGATTGAGATGCTACATAATGCTAAAAGAAAAAAACAAATGCTTTCGAATTCATCAAAAATAAAAAATAACAACACAAAAACAACAAACCTTTATCTCACTAAGTGGTGCGGGCTACATAAATCCTTTTTCTCCATTGCGTCCCACTGAGTGCATATTTTCATTTAATTCTATATGCCCAAGCATTTCTAGGTTTACATGTCTTTCCGAACACAAATCGAATCTAAAACATATATTCTCCTAACTGGTTCATCAGATGGTCGACATTTAATATTAAGATGATGTTTTATACGATATGCCCAAGCATTTCTAGGTTTGCATCTCTTTCCTAACACAAGTCGAATCTAAAACATATATTCTTCTAACCTGTTCATCAGATGATCGACATTTAATGTGCCAAACCATCTAAGACGACTCTCTAACTTTTTCCGCCACTGGAGCTACACCAATTCTATCACATATATATTCATTTCACATTTTGTCTTTTAAGTTTAAAATAAAAAATAAGAATAAAAACATTCATGCAACGCATTCATGTAGCAGTTTCGATTTCTGCTTTCTAGCATTTTTGTTAGAATTTGTGACCAAATTTTTTTGGGCTTGGATCAAAAAGTTAATGATGCAACATAGGTTAGTTGAATTCATGGGGAGTTTTTAGGGAGGTTTATGGTGATAGCAGAGAGATTGGCCCAATAAGCACAACCCCGGAGCCTACCCGGCTAGCATCGATTCCACACACACAAACATCACGTCAAAATACCACTATCACTATCTTCTTAAAGGTGAAATAAAACATTCCATGCATAGGTTTGACAATAAGGTGTTATAAGTGTAAATATCAAAATTTGAGTGTTAGTTATGTAAATACATAAGAAGTGTGTGTTATGTATGCAAATTTCCTATATATTTATTGTGGTTTTGTGTGTGAAAAGTGTTAACCACCAAACCCAAAGTAATCCACTTTATAATCATCTTTAAGGTTAGTGAATTGTCTTCCCATGTAAATCTGAGTTTGTTTTCTTTTTTAGTGTTCATCGCATGAAATTTTGTAACAATTTCTATTACTTGATGACACAATAAAATGATTTCAAGAAGGCAAAATTTGCAAATTGCACAATTGAACTTGCTTAAAGATCCCATGAAACAAGCAACATTTACAAAACTGCATTTCTATTTCTTCGTAATGACACAATAAAATGATTTCAAGAAGGCGAAATTTGCAAATTGCACAATTGAACTTGCCTAAAGATCCCATGAAACGAGCAACATTTACAAAACTGCATTTCTATTTCTTCGTTCCCAGCCACCTTGACTATTATTCTTCAAGTAGCATCATTTAACTTCCCATGAATAAAATAAAAATTAGACAGGCAACTAGTCAAAACTTAGACCATAAAATAAGAGCACAAGCTTCAGTAAAGTTAACAACCTCATTCATCGTCTCTAATGCTGAAAAAGGATTTTTTTTTTCTTTTCCCGTTACATTCACATATTCTGCTTCTGCAATGAAATATCTCTATTCAAATTGTTCCTCATGCTTCAATTCTCATAAAAAGACACAGTTTTGCAAATTCAGCAAAAAAGTCATCAGATGAATAGTAATCAGCATAATCTTATCGTCCTTCTTCCCTATGCAATCAAAAAGCTCATCTCTTTTATACTAATCTTCTTCTACAATCTTATTCCAGTTCAGAAACAGAATAACTTTTCTAAATATTTATTTCCTCGCTCAACAGCAATGGCGTTGTCATATTGATACCAAGAGACCAAAATAAATAAATAGCAGCGAGAGAGAGATGGAAAGAGCAGGCCTGCGGGTCCCTTGATCGAACGATCTCGGCGCCGGCGAACTTTTCCGTGAGGCGGATCATGAAGCAGCCTAGGGCTTCATCGCAGTGGAAGCTTCCGTTGTGGGTGCCGACCCTCTTGAGCGCGTTAGGGTTTGGTGAGCCTGTGGAGAAGGCAGCCGTCGCCGCCATGGTAAACACTCGCCTTTTGGTTTCAACGAACAAGAAGGATCTCCAATACCAGTTCCGAGCCAACAGCATGTCGCGCAGTTGGGCTATTTGCAGGACCATTAGCACGTAAAGGATAGGCCGAGGAAATTAAGGCGCTCTGTTGGGCCATTGTTAGGTCATGAAAGCTTGCTACATAGATGGGCTGGGCCTTATTTGAGAACTATGTTAATAATATCTTGTTTAATTTGATTTTTCAGTGGTTTGTTTGTAGGAAGCTGAATCAACTCGTTATTCTTTTGGAAGTGTTTGGTTTGAAATAAAATGGGTATAATCTATTTGTATGCATGTAAGAAAAGACATGCCATGCTGAATCAGGTGTCAAGTTGATCAGTCGGGCTGAGGAGTTGGTTTGCCGAGGTCTATTGCGCTGACTTGTCAAGTTTATTTCATATTTCTACAACAATGAGATGACTTATAAGTGCACTATATGATATAAGCTGTATAATGTGGCATGACATTACACGTACATTTAAATATTTTGTCTTATTAATTATTGTATCAAAGCAAAATAACTCCAATATTTACAAATAGGGGCTAAAAGTTTAAATAGAAAAGGGGGGCCTCTTCCCATGGGCTATACCTCTCTCCCTATATCTGTCCTTTTTTCTCACTTTTCTCCTTAATGTTAATAAGATTTGGGCATAATTTATGGATTTATATAGATTCAATATCTTAAAGGTGCAATGAGCCCAGACATGCCAGACATGCCTTCAATCTGAAGTTATGAACAAATATCTCAAGAGGGATAACAAAGATCATATTAGAGTAATTCACACTAGATGAGTAAGACATTATATCATTAAATCTTTTATTTTTACATTATTATTTCATTATAACTAATTTATTATATATAATTTTTCATTGGTGCATTCATTTTCCAAGATTTTTTTAGTAAATCGGAAAATTTCCTTATTGTAAGTTTCCTAACAGTAAATGAAACTCTACCAACCCTGCTCAATAGTTGAATGCTAGAGAAGACTTTGGAGAAACTTCTTCTAAAATATAATACATCTAAATAACAGATAAATTCAATTAACCTAGGGCTTTAAGAGCACGAGATCTTGCCCTAGGTAAAGTTTAAAAATTATAACTACTTTCTATAGGAGATTTATAGTTCTAAAGCTAAGGATAGTATGAATTTAACAAAATCATTTAAATTCTTTTATAATTGAGATATATTGTAAGAAAACAATCAGTCTAACAACATAAAGAGATAAATTTTGTTTATTTACGGATAACACTAAGGAAACTCACCCTATAAGACCGTCTATGATAAATATGATAATAGGGCGAGCTGACAATTTATGAACTTACTCATTGAGAGTGTGTGAAAATGTCTTCAAGACAGAACCCCTATTGGCATAAGCCAAAGTGCCCTTAGGATGATTCATTAAAAGAGAGCCAAGCGCCCCCAAATAGATGAATAGTTAGCGTATAGTGAAATACAACACTCATCATTATCAAAATATTATAATTCAAAATTGGGAAAAATAACACATTTAACATATTCATTTTTTTGTGAGAGAAATATATACCTGTGTTGTATAGAGTAGCAATTCATAGCTTCATGTTTTTAATTTTGTTATTATTTTTGGAGTCGTCTCTTAAAGAGAAAAGTGAATTAGGCAACCAAAAATATATACAATTAAAAGAATACATGCCAAGTATCAGGTGTCGAGCTGGCCAGCCAAGTTGACCTAAAGAGTTCGCCTGTAGAGTCCACTTGTCGAGCTAACCTTTCTACTTCATTTCATATAGCTATAGAGAAAGACATTACATAAAACTTCAAAATATGAAATAAAGCTTCAAGATATGACATAAAATACAAAATGTGATATGACATTATGTATTATATATTTTTATTTCTCATTAAATTTTATAATAAATCAAAATAACACAACAATATTTATAAACAAAGGGAGGTCTCTTCCCACAATGTTGTTCCTCTCCCTCTCTTTATATCTCTTTTTCCATCTTTTTCTTAAAAATAGTAGGATTTAAGAATAACCCACAAACATATTTGGATTCAAAATTTTGAGAAGTGTAATGAGTATGAATACTTTTTAAATTTGAAGTTACACGTAGAGATTTACAGAGGGACAACAAAGATCATACTAGAGAAATTCTCACTAAATGAGACACTGCATTAACTATTTCATTTTTATAATTATTATTGTTAAAATTTCTAAATACCATATTCGATCTAAAAACATATTTGAATCGATAAGCGGAAGCGAGATAATATCATGCATACCTCCGACCATAACTTATACGAACTTAGTTTACACTCATAGCTCACACGACAAATTTTCTGTTATAGATCTTCTAAGTTTTTTTCTCACTCACAACCCGATGGTGCAAATAAAATGAAGAGGAGCAAGCTTAGGGACCAAAACAGCAAGCATCACATCTAATTTATAGTACTCTGCCAATCACAGAGTTCAATGGATGTGACCACATTATGGAATGTTACTAAATTCATGTGTTGAACTTAGATGCTATATGGACCACATTATGGAATTACTTCCCTTAAAAACACTAAGGAGTTCCAATGGGTATTAAATTAAAACAAAGAATTAATTAATTTGGGAATTCCAATGGGTATTGTCATTAATTTGGGAATTTCAATGGGTATTGAAATTAATTTGGGAATTCCAAAGGGTATTGAAATTAATTTGGGAATACCAAAGGGTATTGAAATTAAAATAGAGTTTTAATTAATTTGGGAATTCTAAAGAAACAAAATTTAATTCCCATCATTAACTAATTTGGGAATCTTAAAGAAAAAATCCCAACATTCTCCCACTTGGTCCATACAGTTCAACACATACCATAAGAAAAACAAAATATATGAATCATGACAATAGGTCCTCTTATAGTGAGTATTATCTTCCATGTATTACACTATATCAAATCTCTCAATACTAGCCCATACAACTTAATGAATAAACCATATGTCTATTCTAAGTCCAAACCGAATGAGATTTCTCAAAATAAATGAATGAATAAATATGTGCACAAAACCATATGAGAAATCATCAACTGAATTAAGTGTTTCAATAAATATTTGTACAATGTAAATCACAATATGAAACCAAGTCCCATTCGTACTACATGATCCTTAAAATTCTTTGGTGACATGCCTTTAGTCAAAGGATCGGCAATCATCAACTCAATGTTAATGTGTTCAATGACCACTTTCTTTTCCTTAACACGTTCTCTTATGGCTAAATATTTGATGTCGGTGTGTTTAGTTCGACTTCCACTCTTATTGTTCTTAGTCATAAATATTGCAGCTCAGTTTTCACAGTACAAATTTAATGGTCTTGAAATAGAGTCTATGACTCTAAGCCTAGATATGAAACTCTTCAACCATACACCATGTGAGGTAGCCTCAAAACAGGATACGAACTCAGCTTCCATAGTGGAAATAGCAGTCAAGGTCTGCTTAGCACTTCTCCAACATATAGCTCCACCAGCTAGCATGAAAATATAACCTGATGTTGATTTTCTTGAGTCAATGCAGCCAACGTAATCTGAATCAGAGTAGCCAATCACCTCCAAATTATCAGTTCTTTTGTACATGAGCATGTAGTCCTTTGTACTTTGAAGATATCTCATTACTTTCTTTGCAGTTTTCAGTGGTATATACCTGGATTACTCTGATATCTTCCCAACACTCCAACAGCAAATGCTATGTCAGGTCTGGTACAAACCTGAGCATACATAAGGCTTCCAACAGCTGAAGCATATGGAATGTTCTTCATGTGTTCTCGTTCGAAATTATTTTTCGGGCATTGACTCAAATCGAATCTATCACCCTTCACAATAGGTGTTATACTCGGTGAACAATTCTTCATATGAAATATCTTTAGAACTTTATTGATATAGGTCTCTTGAGACAAACCCAAAATGCATCGAGATCTGTCCCTATGGATCTTAATGCCAATGACATAAGATGTCTCATCCATATCCTTCATATCAAAGTTCTTGGAGAGAAATTATTTCACCTCATAAAGTAAACACCTATCATTGGTTGCAAGTAAAATATCATCCACACACAGTACAAAAAAACAAATTTTACTCCCACTAACATTCTGGTATAAACATTGATCCATAACGTTCTCTTCAAAATCAAATGAAGTAATAACTTCATGAAATTTCAAATACTACTGACGGGAGGCTTGTTTCAAACCATATATGGATTTATTTAGCTTGCAAACTAAGTGCTCGCCATCACTAGAGGAGAATCCTTGTGGTTGTTTCATGTAAACCTCTTCCTCTAGATCACCATTAAGGAATGTCGTTTTCACATCCATTTGATGTAACTCAAAATCAAAATGAGCTACCAATGTCATAATTACTCGGAGAGAATCTTTTTTAGATACAGGAGAAAATGTTTCCGTATAGTCAATTCCCTCCCTCTGAGTGAACCCTTTGGCAACGAGTCTTGCCTTATGTCTCTCAATGTTACCTTGTGAGTCTTTCTTGTTTTTGAAAACTCATTTGCATCCAATGGCTTTTACACCATTAGGCAACTCAAAGAGATCCCAGACTCGATTAGATGCCATAGAATCCATCTCATCTCTCATGGAATTATGCCACAAGTCCGATTCCTTAGAACTTATGGCTTGTGAAAACGTTTCAGGATCATTTTCGGCTCCAATGTTACAGTCTAATTCTTGAAGATACACAACATAATCACTAGATATAGCTGATTTTCTTTCTCTAGTAGACCTTCTTAACATTGTTTCAACATTCTCCTCAAGAGCATGTTGTTTAACTGGTTGTACAACAATATCTTGTCATTCCTTATTTCAACTTGATCTACTTGATCATTATTAATAGTTTGTGGAACTTCGACAATTGGTTCTCTAACACCTATTTGTCCTTGAGGGTTGTGAATAACAATCAATCTGCACTTGGCCTAGAATCTGCACTTGACCTAGAGGGTTGAGCTTCACAATGATCCTTTTCCAAAATATTATCCCGAATTTGATCACTCCCACTGATCAAGCCATACTCAAGAAATTTTGCATTCCTTGATTCCACAGTCCTAGTGCTATAAGACGAACAATAAAATATATACCTTTTAGACCTTTCAGCATATCCAATAAAATACCCACTAATGGTTCTTGGGTCTAACTTCTTTTCTTGTAGGTTTGTAGGTTGTAAATTCTTACTTCAGATGGGCATCCCCAAACGCGTATATGTTGCAAACTTGGTTTCCAACCTTTGAATAACTCAAAAGGAGTCTTTGGAACAGCCTTGGTTGGAACTCTGTTTAATATATAAGCAGCCGTCTTTAGAGCTTCAGTTCACAAGAATTCAGGTAGTTTCGTGTTACTCCGCATAATTCTCACCATGTCCATTAAAGTTCGGTTTCTTCTTTCTGTCACATCATTCTGATCCGGAGAACCAGACATAGTGCGTTGGGCAACAATCCCATGTTCTTGAAGAAACTTCGCAAATAGACCAGGTGCTTGTCCACTCTCTATGTATCTTCCATAGTACTCTTCACATCCATCTGACCTCATGATTTTAATTTGCTTTCCACATTAATTCTTCACTTCAGCCTTAAGGATTTTAAAGGCATCCAAAGCTTCGTCCTTAGAACGAAGTAAGTAGAGATGCATATATTGTGAATAATCATCTATGAATGTGACAAAGTATTTTGGACTAACTATATCCATGTCTGGACAACAAATACTTGTATGCATAATCTCCAATAGGTCTGTGCTCCTCTTGGCACCCTTTTTAGACTTATTAGTTTGCTTACCCTTTATGCAATCTATACAAGTCTCAAAGTCAGCAAAATTCAAAGTACTAAGTACCCCTTCATTTACCAATCTTTTAATTCTCTTAAGGAGATGTGTCCCAATCTCCGGTGCCACAACATAGAGGATTCCTCATTCACAACACATTGTTTTAACCCAACAGTAATATGCATAGAATTATAAGCAGCATCATTTTGCAATTCAATAGAGTAAAGATCATTAATCAAAGTACAATAACCAATAACCTTAGATTCATAAGATAAACTAAAACCAGAATCCAAAAAGTTAAAGGAAAAACCCAAAAGTACAAGTCTTGAAATAAAAATCAAAATCATAGAGAAACTTGGAACATAAAAAGTCTTTTCCAAATGTAAAATGAAATCGCTGCTTAAAACCAAATTGCACGTGTCAATGGCTTCTACATGTTAACTCATCTTGCTTCCTGAATAGATGCATTGTTCACTTCCCACTGGCTTCCTTAGGTTTTGTATACCCTGCAAGGTATTAGAAACATGGATTGTAGAACCAGAATTAATCCACTATGTGTTATGATTAACAGTAATCATATTAGACTCATAACAGACGAATGAAAGTTGAGTACCTTTCTTGTCGAGCCAGTTCTTAAACTTGATGCAGTCTTTCTTTATGTCTTACAGAAGAAACACTTTGACTCTTTCTTTATATTTGGCTGAGGAGGAATCTTGTCATTTCTCTTATTTTTGGTTTGATCTCAATTTCTCTTTCCTTGAGTAGTAAAATTCACCTTTTCACCATCTTCCATTGCCAATCTACCTTCTTTTTGGACACACATGGTCAACAGCTCATTAATTGACCATTTGTCTTTATGTGTGTTATAAGAGATTTTGAAGCATTCATATTGTTAGGGCAGAGTGTTTAAAATGAAATGAACCAGAAAAGATTCCGATATTTTAACTTCCAAAACTTCAAGCTGAGCCGCTATATCCCTCATGTGCATGCTATGATCACGCACGTCTTTAATTCTAGTGAGCTTCATGGATGAAAATTGCATAATTAAGGTGCTGGTCAAAGCCTTATTCTGTTGCAAACTGCTCATCGATGGCTTTTAAAAGGTTCTTGACCTTATTATGCTGCTCGATAGAACCACAAATACCAGCAGATATCTTGGTCTTTATGAACATCACAGAGAGGCGATTGGATCGCTCCCATTTTTCATAAAGATCAACAGCATCTGAAATGCTGGTTTCAGTAATGGCAGGTGGTTCGTCTTTTCTTATAGCATAATCAATATTCATCTATCCTAAATGAATAAGAACTCTCTCTTTCCACACCTTATAGTTATCACCCTTTAATTCGGGAATATCACACTTAAAATCAGAAATGTTCGCAGGTTGAATAACTGCAAAAATTATCAAACATATATGCTCATTATTATTATTTTTTTTTTTTGAGACCCGAAAATAAAATATCATGTTTTACCAATATAAATCATGCTCAAATCATTGAATCTAGTTTCATAGAACTTTCCTATGGGCAAAAATTCTACTCAAATTAGATTCATTTAATAACTTTATGATAAAACTATCAAATTATGTTCATTTTCTTAATTCCTGTGGGTAGGTTAAGAGTTAAGAAATATAAAGTTGATATTTTATCCTAATTAATCATACAAATATAATAAAATTCTTGTCGGTAGATTTTATTATATCTCTTATAATTAATTACAACTAATATTTTAATGTGATTCTTGAATTCAATATATAATTTTAATTGATTAAAGATGCTGTGACTATTCCATAATTAATTAAAATTATATGAATCAACTAAAATTAATTAATTCTTTATTAAGGTCTAAATATTTGCATACTATCATAAATAATGCAAATAAAATGAATAACATTGCATAAATATTATTTAACGTAATATATATTGACTCAAAATGACACGTCGTTTTTGACATGTCGTTTTGCATGACGAGGTTGGGTTTTGCCGAATGAAAACGATACGTCGTTTTCACCAACGCCCAAACGACAAGTCGTTTGGCTTGTCTTCATCCTTCAGCCGGGTCATCTAGACCCGGTTCAGACTCGCGGCTCCGAACGGGAAACCTGACGATTTCTCAACCCAAATCAATGGTTCAAATCACATAAAGCTTAGAAACTTGATTTCAAAATGATTTCCGGTTTTATTTTGGATTAACAACGTCAAAATTCTAATGCCCCAAAATCAAAACGTTTTCACAAAAATGGGCAATAAGAACAGACATTAACTTTAATACTTCAACCAAGATTTACGCATAAATAGAGTAAAACAGAGTAAGCAAGGCAGAGGTTAATCACGACTCTGATATCAAATGTTAAATTTTTTAAATACCATATTCGATCTAAAAACATATTTGAATCGATAAACGGAAGCGAGATAAGATCATGCATACCTCTGGTCATAACTTATACGAACAGAGTTTACACTCACAGCTCACACGACAAATTTTCTGTTATAGATCTTCTAAGTTTTTTCCTCACTCACAACCCGATGGTGCAAATAAAATGAAGAGGAGCAAGTTTAGGGACCAAAACAACAAGCATCACATCTAATTTATAGTACTCTGTCCATCACAGAGTTCAATTGATGTGACCACATTATGGAATGTTACTAAATTCATGTGTTGAACTTAGACGCTATATGAACCACATTATGAAATTTATTTCCCTTAAAAACACCAAGGAATTCCAACGGGCATTAAAAATTAAAACAAAGTATTAATTAATTTGGGAATTCCAATGGGTATTGTCATTAAATTGGGAATTTCAATGGGTATTGATGCATTGAAATCAATTTGAGAATTCCAATGGGTGTTGAAATTAAAATAGAGTTTTAATTAATTTAGAAATTCTAAAGAAATAAATTTAATTCCTATCATTAATTAATTTGGGAATATTAAAGAAAAAATCCCAACAATTATTTCATCATTTAAGCTCTTCTATCTCTTTTTTTCCTATTTATGTATTCATTGATGTTTTTATTTTCTTAAAATATTTTTGGTAAATCAATGAATTTACCCCTCATAAATAAATTTCATAAGAGTAAAAGAATAATTGCCAAAAATTTTAGGCCTTACTCGACGCAATGACCAAATGGGGGGGTGGGGGGGGGGAGTCCCACGGGTCCTCTTCTCTCTCAATCTGGGATTGCTTCATAACTCACAAAAATATTTGGGCTCAACAGTATTTAAAACATGATTTTGACCTTTTTGGTATTTGTTTGGAAGAAAATGAAATGTACATTAAAATCTTAAGAAATTTCAAACTCCGTTATTATTACATTCATGGTGTATTCCAAATTTGATTGATTTGGCTAGGTTCCAAACCAACTCCATGTCATGGCCAATAACACCACTAGGAACCACCCATAGCCAGCTCCATTTGCTGTTACCCGCCACCACTAGCAACCACCTATAGATCACCATTTGCTATTACCCGCCACCACTAAGAACCATAACGTCAACTTTGAAAGATTCAAGCTCATCTGAATTTGTATTGGACTAATTCCATGCCAAAAGTTAGACATAGTAAAAATTATTAAATAGGAATTGTCATGCGTGCCCGTAAACTATAAATAATTAAATGCCATGACACATAATTCTCCCCAACCGGTAGGCAATTTTTTAAAATTTTACAACATTATTATCATCTGCTCCACCATCAACAACCGAATTAATTTAGGTCACCCGCTTTTACATTTCTACCCACACACGTCCCTCCTTCTTCCAAATCCGTCCTACGAAGTATCCCAAACCTAAACCACCACTCAATACCATGATAACGCCGGCGGCCGGAAAACTCCTCTCTACAGCCATCGCCGCCGCCGCCTGCTTCTTTTTCCTCCTCCGCATCATCATCTCCCTCAAATCCCTTATCTTCCTCATAGCCCGCCTCTATCGTTGGACCGAAGGTCACACGCAAGCCCATCAGACCTTCACCATCCCTCGCCAGGCCGACGATGACTTGCCGGAGAACCCTCTTTACCGCAAGGCCGCAGCTTACGTAGCCGCTCTGCCCGCCGCCGAAGACTCCGACCACACCTCCCTCTTGTCTTCCTTCTCCCGCCCCAACGACCTCTCCGTCCACCTCATCCCCGGCCAAATCGTTCTTGACTCGTTCTTCGGAGCTCGCCTGTCGTGGACGTTTGTCTCCCCCGCCGGTTCCGGCGATGCTCTCGTGCTCCGCCTCCGCCGTCAGGACCGCCATCGAGTTCTCCGGCCGTATCTACGGCATGTCGAGAGCGTCGCGGAGGAGATCGAAATCCGTAGAAAAGAGATAAAGTTGTATACAAACGCGGCCGGCTCCGTCGGCCGGAGGTGGAGATCGGTGACGATGAGCCACCCGGCGACTTTTGACACGCTGGTGATGGACCCGGAGTTTAAGGCCCGGGTTCGGGCCGACTTAGAGCTTTTCCTGAAAGGCCGGGCTTACTACGCTAGGCTGGGCCGGGTCTGGAAACGGAGTTACTTCCTCTACGGCCCGCCGGGAACCGGTAAGTCCAGCTTTGTGGTGGCCATGGCACGCTTCCTCGGTTACAACGTCTACGACCTTGATCTTTCCCTAGTC